CAGCCCCTGCCACCCCGCTGACCCCTCAACCCCCCCCCAAGGCTCTCAACGAACTCTCTCTATGACCTCTCAGAGTCACATAACCCGAGCTCTCTTCCACAGGCACACCCGCAGCTGGATGTTGCAGTTCTACAGGGTTGACATTTTTGGTTCGGCTCACACACCATCTCTTACACTCTCTCACTCCAGTTTCTCCATATCCCCGTCCCTCGTCACACCCCTTTGCTGATCCTGCAACCCTTTTCAGCTCCTCCGCCATTACTTATTGTTTTTTCTTCTCCCAGCTCCTCTCATCCCTCACTCTCGGCCCCTTGCTCTCCTCCTCACTCCTCACTCCCCTAATCACATCTGCTCCCTCTCAAACGAAAGCATTTTTTTTTTAAATCTCACTCCCCATTTATCAAAGTGAAGGAAAAGAATCAAGATTTGTTTCTATTTTCTTACAGTTTCGGTCACCTTAGTCATCAACATTTTTGTGGGTTCCTCAGGGAACATCTCCAGTTACAACAGGGGTCTTATTAAGTTGTCGTCACGGCTTATAATGGAAAAGAAGGGAGAAAAGCTCGTAGAAAATGTGACTGGAGAGACATAAAGAATAATATATTGGAGCATATGGGCTAAACGCTGACTCTTCATGGTATGACTGTGCCTTTATGGTTCTAGTATCTATATATTTCCCTGTGGTATACCATATTGCTACAGGCTAGTTAACATTACGAGCCTCACAGCGTCTCGAAGCATTTCTTCTGGCGCTTGCTCCCAGCACTTCCTGCACTATCCTGCTCTTCAGAACACCTAGTGGACACATAGCCCTGCTCTTCTGCTGTTCTTCATTCCCACTGTACCCTCCTTTCCTCATAAAATTCCCTGAAATTATTATAATACGATACCCTGATTTGTCACCTTCCTAATTTGCTTCTCTGCACAGTGTCTATGTGCTTACATCATGCACACAGGAAACCAGATTACTGTGAGAAATCAAGCAGGAAATCAGATAACACAATTACGTCCACAACAGAAGTTTGACAGCTTTAAAACTCACATTAAATTGGCGAGTAATCTGATTTCTGCCCGTGCACTACCATGTCTAGACAGATATTGTTTAATTGTATCTAACTAAACATGGTATGTAGGGAATGGTGTTTGGAATGTTAAGCAATGGCTCTATAGTGGGCTCACTTTTTTTTGTCATGTTGTTTCTACACCTAACATAAAATTCACTTTTGCAAGCTAAATTATGCAATGGTTGAACTTTTTAATTGCTTTAAGTTATACTTCAAGACCGACCCTGGATTTAATCATTTTGGTTCAAAGGATGAGCTGTTTCGCTGCAAGTTATTTTTGCAGATATTTCTTTTCACCTCGCTGTAGGACTTTTTATGTGGTCTTTATCATGCACACATAATAAAAACCCTTTAGAAATCTGTATACATGACCAGGAAATCATTATTTTCCTAGAGGTGCATAGGTGGTGTTAAAGGGGACATATCATGAAAAGGTTCAGTGCTTTTGGGTATCTGGAGTGCCTACCAAGCGACAAACTATGAAATAAGACAACCCAGTCAGTTTTTGTGGGCTGCCTAGATCTAAAAACACGTGATTCAACAAGCCAGTCAGATGTTGCTGCCCTTCCTATGTCACATGCAGCTCATTAGAATATAGAATACATACAGTATTAGAATAGATGTGAGTATCTAGTGCACCAAGAGGAGACTAGGACTTTTCTAAAGGGAGTCCTAAAGAGATAGGCGCTAAAATGGAGCGTTCAGACAGAGGGTGGACACGGGTATATTCAGACAGACAGAATGAACTTTAAAGCATGAAAATATTTTCTAGTAGAAACTCAAAACACACGTACAAACCTAAAATGAGCATATCTGTCCCCTAATCTTCTTTTAATCGGTTAACCTGATGAAGAAACCCAGGTTTGAGTGTGTTTATTTATCATTTCTTACCTATTTAATCCATGTTCAGACTGATGGCTTATGATTATACTTGAATTTCAGATGATGTTTCAGAAAGCCAAGTTACTGTTGATAACTAAGCATAATCACATTCTAAGTGGATGTAAATCTACATTAGCAGGCCAGTGTTTCATTGCCTTTCATGTCTGCTCCGTCACATTGCCACATGGCAAGGTCGAGAGCCTTTTGCCCTTCTGGGACTGCACATTGTATGTGTCGTAAAGTAGTAAGGATGTGCGTCAGACAACGTCAGAGAGTAACAGAGACAGAACGAGAGGACTGACTCACAAGGATGGAGGTTAGACAGAAACAGAGAAAAATATACATTGGAGGTGAAAGTCCACAGAGGGGAAAGAAAGAATATATCCAACTGAATTGCAACAATAAAAGCTGGAGCAAGAATGCACATTATGAAGGAATATCATCATTTTGTTTCTATCTGTTTTCCTTCTGAGCCCTCCTCTCTAGCAGGTGCTATCATAAGGGTGTGCATTCGCATACTGTCGCTCCATTATACATTCACATGGCCAACCCTGATACGTCCTCGTGTTTACACCACTGGAACTAATGATGCTGCTTCTGCAATCCTTCAAAATTAACCCTTCTGGTCAGCCACACACAAACACACCTACACACTGCTTATGAACTCCTGAAGGGGAAGTTACTGAAGGAAAATTAATGAGATGTATCGAATAGCACAGGGACAACACTAGTGTGTGTGTGTGCCTTTTCTCTTGGTGTGTGCGTTAGAGAGGCATTTATCAGGTTTGCAAAGAGAACAATTGACCACATAGCCACTGCCTTAGTAACAAATACACATGATTAATAAAATAAGCATGTGTAGTCATACAAGTACGTATCTTTACATTGACACCGCCATAGGGCTACAGTCATTCTTATGAGATTTACCTTCAGCTGACCATTACATTGAATAGGTACGCTGAGATGGAATACATATGTCAAATATATCTGATTATCGATTAAATACTGGATTTCCAAATCAGCTGATATAGTACACAAACAAACGGGTGCACCAGCAACCCTCAAGGGGGAGTGTTGTACATGATCAGATATTGCAGGTTTGAAATAATTACATATTTGAATCTCATGCAACAGAAATCCACCAATTAAAAACCTGCTGAATGCTGTGTGTGTGTATTGAAGTGCACATATGTGTGTGTGTGAGACAGTGTGCATTTCTACGCACCATGCTGCATCACTCACACACTACCAGTAAGGTGAAGGCAGCCGTGTAAAGTGGTACGTTCTTCCAGTGAGCGGTATGAGTGTATTCTCCCTACAGAGGTGTCTCCCTGCCTAAACCTTTACACCAGGAGTATCTTAAAAAACTATGCTCAACACAGACAGGAGGCTCTGTGTGCCTGGAGGCTTACTGAACTGAACAGGCTCTGATGGAAATACCAGCGTAGAAGTCTCTACTCAGTGGGTCTTAATGGATATTTTCTCATCACGGAGAAAAAGATGTGACAGTGTGAGGCTGATCCATGGGGGGAAAAAAATATTTATTTATTATATATTTATTCCATTGCATATTATGTAAGTGCGTAACTGTCGACCCAACTGATCCTTTCACAGTATTCAGGGTGAACAGCACCGGGTGTAAGACCAACATGCCCCTCAAGAAGAAACTCAGAATCTCCAGGTTTGGTGCAAAGATTGATGTCGTGCAAAAAAAGTGTGGAATTCTTAAAAGAGCAAATAAATGAAACAATTCAAAGGCCGCTAAACAATTAATTCGCGGTGAGGTGACAAGTGATGCATCCTCACTAACAAATCAAAATACAATTTAACATTAATTTTAACTATGTTGGCTCACCTGCAACATACTCGGTTGCTTACTTTAAGTTTTATTCTGGTGAGGACAGTCTGTTCACAAGCTACTCACCTTATCTTAAATTTAATCCAGTTGTATTTATATACAGCGAAATAAAAATGCATTTAAAGTAGTTCCCTCACTGATTCTAGAAAACGATATAACTATATTTGGTATGTAGTATGTATCTATATAACTTTATTAGGATGAATGTTATTCATACAAACAATACAGGAGCAGACATAAGCAAGATCTCAGCTGTAAGATCCTGTTAGGATTGTGCACCAACACACATACATACACACACGCACACTTGTATCACATAAGATGAAAACACAAGGTTATTCCAGGGTCCAGGTTGTTTTAATTAGTACTCCTTTGGGGAGAGAAGAAAAAGTGTGGACTGCCACACTCTCCAATGTTTAAAGACAAAGCTCTGTTCAAAAGCAATGAAAGCTCCCTTTACACGTGTGTAAAATGCCTCATAAAGACCCAAAGACCCAGAAAATGCAGGAAACAGTCATCGTCTGTTCTGGATGACTCCTGCAAGATCCATGCTACCAATGTTGGTCTATGGAGCTTTTCATTGAATTATTGAATTGCAGCACAGAGAACAAGGCCTTAAAATTATCTTTAAGTCTATTAGTGTAATAGGGCAATCATATGTCTGATAGTGTGATTCTTTCAGGAAAAAAAAGTGAACACTGTCCCCATTCTGATGACTTTGCACTTTCCTCCTTTTATGTGCATGAAACTACCGGAAAGTTGAAAATAGTTCCCCTAAAATCTGAAAAAGCCCTGAGCATTTCCATCCTCTTTAGCTCCTCCTTCCCTGTTTCATCCTAATACCTCCACTGCCCTGCATAAATGTATCATTACAGTATCATTATGTCTATGGTATCCCCCAGCCTCCATTTACAGGGACTTAGGTACTGTGTCTAGGGCTTACGTGGACCCATTATATCATTAAGTCATTATGAGCTGGGACAGAGAGAAAATAATACCCATAATAGGAGCTTCATTGGGCACTACTTAAGTCTATACTCCCATCCTGCCTGCCTTCCTGTCTATTTGTCTGGCTGACCATAGATCTGTATGTGCACACTGGGTTTCTTCCTCCCAACAGAAAGAGTTTGAACAGAAACGTCTGAAACCATTTGTATAGTCAGGATGCGTATATGTGTTGACAATAACTGACTCACCCCAGAATTAGGATACGCCGTCCAGCCCAGTTCAGCTGTGGCCACCCGAGTGTCCATCACGGTCTCTGCAAAGAAGAAAGAAAAAGAGAGGTAGAGAGAGACAAAGACAGCGGTTAGCCTCAGAAAAGCTATTTTGAGTATCATTCCACAGAGTTGAACCGCATTCAAGCCCCAGCAATCACTTGACACAATCGTTGATGAACAGAGAGGAGATGAATCTTTCAGAGCGTTTCATCCATCTCCGCTAGACTTCTGGTAAGACAAGAGACATGGAAACAAAGCTTTGGCACTTTGCTGGAAGGAATGTCTGAGAGCCTCTGTCATGCTGTTAAATGCTGAGCTTTGTATTGTGTTCTCTCTGTGACAGCATGAAACTACACTATGTGCATCCTGCCTTTGTTTGCGTGACTGCTTGCATTTTGCACGGTATGCAGTCATTTGTGAAAAAAAACAAAAACGAGTGGATATTTTTGTATATGTGTGTGTGCACATGAGAAACACTGTGTGGGTTTGCATGTGGTTGTGTGTGAGTGCTGCACTTTGTCACATTGTTAATGCAAAGAAAAGCGGCTTCCAGAACACAGAGGGAGCCCTCCAAGGCGAGGCCATTGCTTAAAAAACTGAAAAATAGTTTTGCCCTGTACTCTTGTGTCAGTTCTTCTAAACCCACAGCAATGTAATACATTTCCAAAGCATACAGGTTCTCTGTGATTTTCTGAGTATTGCATAAAATCTCAAGATGCACCTATATACCCTATATACCGTAAAAATGAGACGATGAAATGCTACAAACTCAAAAAGGAAAATTTGCCATAGGGGGCCAGTTCAGAGGAGATTTGAATTTATCTACCACATTTTGGACTTGCATTACACAAGGTGTCTTATCTGGTCCCATACCTATGAAATATAAGACAAAGATTACCTCTAGCTAATCCGCAGTGACACACCGCAGACAAATAAGTCTGGCAGCTTACTCAAGACGTTTGTCAGCCCCGTTTTGATTAATATCTGCCGTGTTGGCACACTGATATCTTGAAACCCGATATACCTCCAGGAAAGAAGAGAGAAGCATGACAGTTATTATGAACCTGTCTGTCTCTCTCTCTCTCACACACACACACAGATCTATAGAGTGATGGACTGGGTGACATGTTGGCCTTAGCAGTGTAATGATAGATTCATAATTTCCCCAGTAACAGATTTATTCTCTGGCCTAACCCTTCCATCTTATAGAGAGGGAACCAGGGCATATTTCATGTTTTTCATGAGCAACAGCGGTTGCTGTGTCTTTGGCTTGGACATCTTCCACTGCCACAGCACACGGTTGGCTAGCAACGCACACACACGCGTTGTTGATAAGGGAGACATCTCACTCTGACTGAATGCAAAGACGTAACCAGCAGACGCTGTCCTCGTTCAAGAAGAGGTCCCAGCCCTCAGCACCCTCCCTTTACCCACTCCTCCACAGGAAGCACAAACCCCGCAGCTGTTGCTTATTTGGAATCTGACTGAACTTGCAGTGATTCAGAAATCATTCCAAATGATGGAGCACTCAAAGCCCGTCTTCTGCAGTTCAAGTGGTCTTGGTAAAAAAAACAAGTACATGATGAGTGACAAGGCACCAGTGGGAAAGAAAAAGGCCTTTCATTCTCAATCTCTACTTAGTGGAAGAAACTGTCCTCAGACATGAAACCAATTAGCCCAGGTAATTCAGCTGCACACAACACACACAAGCACTCACACAGATACACATTAAGCCACACACAAGCTGCACGCTCACACACACACACACACACTCGCATTCACCAGCCAACAGAGAGAGCAATTTTCTGTGTACACCTACGGTGACAGCCTTGTTCACACCCGGCTTCCATCAGAGTATTTCAATTTCCCTAAGATCAGCCTTGTCTTGTCTAGTTTCCACAGCCAGCCAGCCAGCCAGCCAGCCAGCGCCCGCCCGCCCGCCTGCCCGCCCGCCCGCCTGCCTGCACGACTTGCTGTCAGCTGGGGAGATAGGAGCATGAAACAGCCCTCAGCGCCAGCCAGCGTTGTGGGGACTGCCAACCCTTTCTCAGGGGAAATCACAGAAGCTTTAGTCAAATCACACAGGCATTGGTTGGCCATTTCCCATTTCCTTTTAAAAGGAATGGATGGGGTGAAGGAGGCACAAGATGGTGTAGGAAGGAGACAAAAAAAAGGTCAAAAGTCCATGGGAGGGGGGTGGGTGAGTTGCGTCATGTGACCTAATGTCTACCATTAGCAGAATATCAGAGTAGCAGATGAGTAAATGGAGTATGGTAAGTGGTTATTAGCAACAGGGTGGGGCTCACACAGCCGTCATGCCGCACCTGTCCGCTGGCACTGGGGATTTGGAAAATGTCCCTTGTGTACGTGTACGTGTATGCGTTTGAAATGAGCTGTTTTGTGGAGTTTTATTTTAAAACGAGCAACCCGCATTAATTCTAAAAGACGGCTCTTTCAAAATTACAAGAGGTTTAGTTTATTATTGAAATTATAATTCATCCTATGACCTTGGCTTAGGAAACAATTAGGTTTCTATATGGAAAAAAAAAAGGTACAGAAACAAAATATTATGTATATATTATTGGGATTCGACATTTCTGTTTGGGTAATTTGTATTTTAAGCATTTTAAGATGCCTATTTCCTCGTGTCATCTCTCTTGGCTGTATGTGGGTTCCAGTAGCTAAACGCTGGGTTACTCCTCAGCTTAAGACCATAAAACCCTCGTAAAATCTATTAGTCCTCCCTTTCCATGGCTCCAGATTCTGATCGCAGTTATATCTGTCCGGACCTCCTGTTACCCTCTTTCAGTTTTTACCAAGTCATTTGGAAGACAAGGAAAGACAACAGCTCGCTGTAGTCCTTCATGTTTGGAGGGTAGCCCAGAGTGTTTTCTCCTGCATTTATATTCTGCTATGTCAGCTCCACCTGCAAGCGCCAATAAATTAAACACAGCCAGGTTCACTAGCAGTTCAGTCTGTGGGAAAATTATTAATATAGAGAGCCTAATATTGACTGTGTCATAAATCAATTGGAAAACAATAGCTTGTAGGTGTCAGGGTAGCTTGCCTTGAATGGATTCAAAGAGCCGCAAGGCTATAGGGGATGTATTGTGAGTACATTGCAGAATATTAGTTACTCTAAAACCTACAACGAAAGTGGATTGGCTCATTGTGTAAGGCTCACTCACGCTGATACATTACCAGCATACGAGTCAAAACCCAGAAGTCTCAAGCCGAGCCACAACAAAGGCTCGACCGAAGGCCTACAACTTCCAATGCCAAAGCACAGCTCCTTCTCATTAGTAGCAAGTGGTAGATCAATACCAAATGGTAGGCTGTTTCCACAGATACAGAGGGGAGGGAGGGAGAGAAATGAGGGAGCGAGAGAGACTGCATTAAACATTGATGGGGCCTTGCGCTACAGATCGATGAAGGCAGCCCTCTTCACACAATTACACGTCAGCAAGCAGTCGCATGATACATCACAGACACATGGATGCTCGCATTTGGGCCAAAGGTCATCTATAGAAATAGAAATAAAGAGCAGCAGGTCTAGATTGGCCAATCTCTCCATCCTCTATGACTTTAATTCTATGGGTTGCAAGTGAGAATGGCAACATGTATGTGTGATTCTCCCCTTTGTGGCCATGTCTGTATGATTGTATGGCTGCTGGTCGATTGAACACGTGCTGAAGTGCCTCTCTGAAGCACGGCTCCTTAGTCAATATGGTAGACAATTCTGTGCAGATTTCCCTTCCCAACCCATAACACATTTTTTCCATTCTTCTGAACTTTACCCCCCCCCCCCCCTTCTCTGTCTTTCCTCCCCCTCTTCTATGTCCTCCTGTTCAAGGATGCTGGCACACTTTGTAATTCAATGAGACAATCATGTCCAGATGCTGGATGCAAGGCTGAGAGGGGCTTCTCTTTGAGATTGTAGCAACAAACTGAAACAAGATCCAAAGGGCCTTGAACAACATTATTTAAGAGGGGTTTATCTTTTCTCCGCAACTGATTCAAGATGGGAGGACCAAGAGAGGGAGATACGGAAGGGAATGGACAGACAGAAGGAGAGACAGAGAGATGAAAAACCGAAAGACGAAATCAGCGGGATTGAAATGAGCACTTAACAATGATGAAGCCCCATGGTAGCCTGCTGAGCCTGGCATCTTAATACAGGGCTGAAAACAAAGTGACAAACAAACATGAGAAAAGGCTGCTGCGTCTCCAAACTAATCAGCCGTCCACTCGAGGGATTTATGAATAAAAAGGGAACATTTTTGACAGAGCGAAGTGTTTTTCGAAACAAATCGTGTGGAAATTTGTCACAGAGACAGACACTGTTCACTCACTTCAACTTGGGAAATCGCCCAAAAAAAGATTGTTTATTGATGGATAAGATCAGCTCAAGTCCAACATGGTCAAGAGCATTGAGCTGATTTGAAAACTGTCACTGGGTTTATGGCACAGCACTGCTTCAGGGTGAAAGGAATATGAAAGAAGTGATGTCTTTGATTGAGTCACCGTGTTCAACAGAGAAGACAATCCTTGCGAACACAGATGTGAGACTCTTATAATCCGCGTCACACCAAAGCTGTGTCACTCATACTGAAGGCTTTTTCGCTTTAAATAGAAGATACAGAACAGTCAACAGAAATACATCAAAAGAAATACGTTACTTCTATGTCTCCCTGAAGACAGCAATGACAATGTGGCTGATTCGAAAATTGAACAGAAAATAATCTGCCAACCTCGGAGACATTAGCTGGGAGTGATGGGATACACAAGTCCCGCTTCGGTGAGCCACAGACAGAATAAATAAGCAGGCTCACAAATCACAGATCGCACACACACACACACAAATGTATTAACAGTGTTCTAAGCTCGCAGACACTCGCTCTGGCTGAGTGAAAATAAAATTTTCGGCATGAAAGAAGACCGGGTCTCGGGGACAACAGAAAAAGCTGAGAGATGAGGGGAGAAACAGAAGAGGGGATTCACAGAAGCCAAAGTGAGATGTTAGGAGCAGCAGATGTTAGGA